AACTGACATTTTTAGAGAAAAATAGTATGATAAAATGAATGATATGTCTCTCTGTCTCTGCATATATACTTATATGTATTTATACATAGCTCGCTAGAAAGCCGAATCACATTTAATTCATTAATCAACTAATTTGTATATAAATACATCTCGTTTTTACAAACAGTTTCTATATCATCATCCAAAAAATTAATCAAATTTACATTTGTACATTGTCTTGTTTATGTTCCTTAGTTGTATCGGACTACGTCATATAATATCTGTGTTGTTCCATATTTAAGGCACAGTCGGAAGGCTCAAACGTGACGAGCTCAAATGCCGGGAGGCTCATCTGTCGACTTGTAATCCAATGTGTACGAATGTATTACGATTCTGTACATCACTGAATGTAATTTTGATGGTTCTGGTTGGAGTCTTCCCTTTTTTACCAGCTAATCGAATGACATTGATAACATCGAGATCGACAGCCTTTAATGCATCAACAATTCGATCTTCTGGTAATTCAAGGTCGACTCTTTTGACGAAATCAACCTTTTCCGTATCCTTGATTCTTTGGATTGATCGAGGAACATAAAGTTTTGCACCAGGATGACCATTTGCTGATATAATTGTTGTAAAGTCATTTAATAAACGATTGAATAAACTGACGTTACTTGCATTTAATGTAAATGCACCAGATCGACTCAGTTGGATATCATTAACTTTGACATCATTTAAGTGCCGCTTTAATAAATCATTAAGTTGCAGCTTATTGACTTTAACACCCTCTAGAATCAGAGGGGCAACGTTGAATTTTGATTGGCTTGTTCGACCAGCGAATGGACTTTTGCCAACGTGGCGGGTGTTTTCCCTTGAGTTGGTTGGTTGTGATTGGTTGTCGAGGCTTCTGGTACGATACGTCGTGCCAACACCATCACCACCACCACCTTTTTTTGGAGCCATCTCCAAACCCCAAAAAACCGAAAACTAACTTTTTGAATGACCAATAGAGTTGAGTAGTTGGTGAAAACAAAGAAAAACAGAGAAAGAAAAGCCAAAAAACTTAAAGTCTTTGGACTTTTAAATGACAGAGAACAGAAGACGAAGAAAGATAAAATCCACTAAATAGACGAAGAAAGATGCGACTGATCGCGATCACGTCAGAAAGAGGAATGAACACACCATGCTCGATTGTTGTTTTCAATGGTAAACATCATGATGAAAAAATGGCAAAGGTCTTCTCGAAGCACTACAGCAATTATAATATCTCCTGGGAGAAGAGAACAAATAAATGGGGTGGTGTGTTAGTGGCTGTTCATCGTTCTATACCAGTACAGAAAGTCGAAGTGTTTCAACATATAAAGAACGTAATAGTCCTTGATATTGGCACGGCAGAAGATAAATTTCAATTAGCAACATGGTATTCATCTCCCAAAGAGAATCTGCCGGTAAAACTGTTTGACAACATCTTAAAACGAAACAGTAATACAATATTAATGGGTGACTTCAATGCCGAGCATTCATCATGGTCCAACTCTATCGACAATCATAAAGCCCACGTACTATATAACTGGTTAACGACAAAGACACTAGAAATTGTAAACAAATTCGTACCAACCTCTACTCGTTCAAATGCAACGATCGATCTAATCTTAGCTCCTTCACACATGATTGCAACAACATCCTTTAGTGTTCTTCCATCCATTGGCAGTGATCATTTTCCGATCATATGGACTCCTACAATCAAATTACATAAACGTGATCAACGTTACCCAATAATGGAAATTAATGGAATGAATGGAAATTAATAAAGTTATTTTTAGTATTTACTTTTTCCTTTTGGAACGATTTATCTTCTAAATCTAGTGATGTTATAGATTTCTTCACCACATACGAACGCTTTCTGGCACTGTTGACATCTAGATTAACATATGTTTCATATTGCCACTCATATAAACCAGCTCTTCCACCCCATATAATCAATCTCATTCAACAAAAGAAAATCATACCGACCTTAGCTAGGAAAACGAAACATCCATTTCACATTACACAATTGAAAGAAGTGTCAATTATAATACGTAAGGAAATGTTTGTACATAAACGTTCATCCTGGTTAAAGTACTGTAGTACTTTAAATGAACCAAGTATCAAGCTTTTCTGGAAAAAAGCACGAAGACACTTCTCAACGTCCACTCCGCCGATCACCGGTTTCTTATCAAACGGAGCTGTGATAGGTTCACCAAATGATATGTGTAAATTAGCAAAATCGTTTTATGACGAACAATTTGCGAGTCTCTGATAAAGTAATCAAAGCACTGCCATCATCACACCACTCCTTCATATGCTCTGCATTTGGCCATTTTATGTCGTATCTGAGTATGCCATCCTACTGGACGATGGCTAAAATAATCTTACTATCGAAAAATAAACAAAATACAGTGGAAGTGAATGATACACGTCCGATTTCACTCTTGCCATGTCTTTTAAAAGTTTACGAAAAAAACTTTCTCGGGTATTTCCGTCGCCGGGTGGAGGATAATGGCATAATTTCAGAGGAACAAACAGGCTTTCGTCCTGGACACAATATGGCAGTTAGAATTGTATCGATTATTGATCAGATCGATCAGAGTTTAACAGTCAACACGGCTGCTGCGAGCTTGTTTGTTGGCTTTAAAGCGGCTTTCAATCAGCTGTAGTTCAATGGGCTTTTGTTGAAGCTTTTGGTTTGGAATATCCCCTTTACCTAATGGCATGGATTAAAGCTTATCTTTTGGAAAGATCAGCGTACATTTCTATCAACGATACAGTGTCCGATACCTTTGCGCTTCACAAACGAGTACCACAAGGGTCTTGTGTTGGACCTTATATTTTCATTGTATATCATTATGACATCCTAAATAGCATTTCACTGTTGCATTGGAAACATCTTTTCGCTGATGATTTAGCGATCCTAGTGTCATCTTCGGCACAGTGGCCTTCCGATGTTCTCATACATAATCTCATGGAGCAAGTAGGCAAGGTGATTTCACAACTAATGTCATATGCGTCTGTTTGGAAACAATTACCAGAAAACCTATTGGATTTTGTTCCATAAACAAGTAAATCCTATCATTCCTTATGATATCATATGCAATGGACACTTGATATCTCGTTGTAATCAAATAAAATATTTAGGTACAGTTCTTGATAGTAAGTTGTCGTTTACCTCACATTGCAGCCATATTTTTTCAAAAATGAGGAAGAATATGGCAATATTTGAACATCTCTCAAGGCATCGTGTTCTAAATGAAGATGTGTCTTATAGATTATTTAATGCATATATTAGACCATATTATCAATCATTTTTGAATATCTATCCGATCCTTTCCAGTTCTAAACGAAAACATATTGAAGCCTTTAATATTCAAATGTTTAGAATAATCTATCGTTGGACGGATGCAACTAATGATGAGGTCAGTAATCTACCGAAATATAAACCTGTAGAAAAACTGATGCAAATACATTTTGCTAAATCATCCCGAATATAATTACAACAAATCCATCCGTAATATCGGATTATCTACAGCATAGACTGTATTTGTTGTATATTTATGAATATTACAATAATCCAACTTTATTAAAAGAAAAAAGATTGTTAATATAGAGAAATTTGACCAACAGTAAAAAACTTTCGATATGCAACGATGAAGGCCTATTCTTTTAATATGAATTGACTTTGAAGAGGTTATTGAATCTTTTCGAAACAGATTGAATTAGTTAAATTTGAGCACAAAATTGATGACTGTTTGATAGAAGTTTTGATTCAATTCAGTTTTATTTGTTCAACCATTGAGAAAGTTTCAATAATCATTAGAATTTCTTCGATAATTCTTTTAAAAATTTTTTCTAATGTTCAGATAGTTTTAGTCGAGTTCAACGTCTTTACTCTTGACTGTGACGACGTCATCATTATTTAATTTATTTTACACTCGAGTATTTTCTCCTTTTTTGACAATTTTTCCACTGGATGCAGAGTTAGACATAACAGGTCAACATGGTCATTTATTCAACATTTATTTATTCGAATTCATTGTAATTAATCATAAAAGTAAAATGTAATTTAAAGAGGAATTTCTATTAGACAGATCAAAAATGCGATTGATATCATTGATTGACTTATTTTCATCGAATGAAAATTAATTTGACGAAAAGATTTGATGAGAAAAATAACGCTAATTTCTTTTTTCCGAATATCTAACGTGAAGTTATTAATAAAACAACATTTTGTCATGCCAATATATTTATATTAAAAGATAAATTCGTCAAATAATTTCTAATGGTGGAACAACAAATAAAGATTATTTCAATAAAACTTTCTTACATTTAATTGTCGCCAATCCAATAAATCGTCAAAATGTCATTGATAGTCAATGATCGAATATGAAATTGTTTGATTCTTGTTGATTGAATTCTTTCACTCTGACACACATCAATTCAACAAAATGAAGAGAATTGTTTCTTTCTATTTTCTTTTTCTTATTTCCAAGTTAAATATTGCTACATCATCGCACAAATATCAGGATATGTACTAAAACGCGATATTTGAGAGTCACTGCATGATGAGACAAAAAAAGTATGGAATACATACTAAGAACCGATATAGTCACCATTTATCATATAGCAGTTCACCGATAGTTTTATACCAGCCACAGTTCTAACAAATTTTGAACTAGTTTTTATCACACCTTTAATAGGTTCTTGTGCAGTGATACTGATCGACAATGTATGACTAGGCAAATTTCTCATTGACATTGTGGTAAGCGTTGACTGGCTAAATTAATAGCAATGATTGAAAGTACATCATTTATCATTGAGGTTCGAAAAACCTGAATATCAACCATTTCAGTATTACACCAATCTTTTTATGTTAATTGACTTCGTGTTTGTGCAGATACATAAGTTAAAAAACTGATCAAGCACCACAACACAATCTTTGTGTTCATTTTTATTTAGTTTATAGAGTAGCCAACCTTGTAGCTTCAGAGCAATATGACTAACTGTCATATGCAATACTTATAGTTTTCTTCTAACCATATGTCATTCTTTCTCACGATAACATGCTGCAAATATTTTAGTGTAGGAATGTAGTGATTGTTTTCATGAATATACAGCTAAATATGTTTTACAACCGCATTATTTGTTACAGAAAAGCCCAATGCTTGGAAACTTGGGCTAGCCCTTACTACGCCATATAATCTCAACATGAGTTGAGTAAAAAGTTACAGAAAGGCAGTCTCGAGGACTGCGCGCGTAGTAAGGGCCAGTCCAAGTTTCCAAGACTTGGGCTTTTCTACAGCAAATAGTACGGTTGTAAAACATATTTAGTAGCATCAAACAAGTCGAGTTTAAAAAATCAAAATGAATATACAATCCGAAGTGTGCACTGAAAAATGGGGGTCAAATGAGGTCTTCATAGGGGTGGCACTTTCCCGTTCCTTTTCAGAGTAACGGCAAAGTGGTATCTTTTATTTCAAAAGTAAAGATTAAAGATAAAATGCCTATCTTTTTCTTTTCTAAGAAAAGAGAAAGTGGCACCTTTTCTTTTCCAAAAAAAGAAAAGCGGGATCTTTTCTTTTTCCAAGAAGAAAGGTGCAAAGAAACGTTTTTCCTTGGGAAAAGAAAAGATATTGTTTTCTTTTTTTTGGAAAAGAAAAGGTGCCACTTTCTCTTTTCTTAGAGAAGAAAAAGATAGGCATTATATCTTTCTTCTTTTTTATGTAAAGAGAAAGAAAAACTTTTCTTTTATCAATAAAATAAGAGGTAGGAAAGAAAAAGTGCCACCCCTAGGTCTTCATTTTTCATGGTTTCAGAGATACAGACGTTTTCTGACGACACACCTGTCTTTTTATCGGTGACTATCAACAGTAATAAGATACCAGTGTCCAATGTGATGATTGGACGATTATCGAGGAACAATCAGTTGTATTTAAAGCCACAATATCTGATTGAAAAATTATCGGTATATTACGACGAAAACTCGAACAAACAGGTATTTCTCCGCTTTCCAACACTAGTCGAAAGTACTTGATATCTTTTGAAATGAATTGTGTATGAAAGTTAAAAATTGAGTACATTTTCCTTTGTTACTGCAAGTCTGTAATTAAAGATCTCGCAAAAAGACTTTAGAATTTATTTACATTTTAGACACTGGTCACACAGTCAGGTAATAATGAACAAATTTATTAAAACCTAAATTGGATTGGAGTATAAGCGATTTTCATTAGTTGAAATACCTTCAACCAATTTATTTTGAAAAAGTTTAGAATAATGTTGTACTTTAAATTAATTCGGATTAATTTACTTGTTCACAGAGATGTAAAATAATTTTCTTTAAATCTACTCGTAAAAAACGTCGTTGATATATATTCATTAAATCTAATTCCATCGCGTTACGTAAGACTATTTTAATACAGATCCCTTTTCGGATAAAATTACGTGCATAAGATAGCCCATAAAAAAACTAGCTTTAGGTATATATCTCGTGTAAAAAAAGGCCGTGACTAATAGGTGAGAAATAAAACAATATTCATTTTTCGTTACGCGATGACGCTAACAATAGGGTAGTTTTGTTTAAACTCGCTGCACAAAAATGTAAGATAATAAAAAATCGATTAATTTATCAAAAGATAGTTTTATTCCCGTAGACATAATCAGTAATAATCAATTTTGAAAATGTCAAGCTGTGTAAAGATACCGCTCGTGACAATATATGGGATGAATAAAGGAAATTTTTTCATGTTGAGGTAGTATATTGAATAATACTCTTCAAAAACCAATTCTTGCATTTAGTAGCAGAACAAAATATGTTTTGGTACACTTTTGACTATGCTCTACAAGACAGTGATAACGAGTTTCCAAAATGTTTAATTCGAACTTTGGACCTCCGAGGTTACGCGTTTAAGCCGATATACCTTACGAGGGAACGTTCAGAACTGATAAATCGTTTTTTAAATTTTAGTGTTCCCAACTTGTAGAGCTTGTTGAGTTATTAACTAACATAATAATCATTCGGGCTAACAATGCGTTATAAGATTAAATCTATATATGTAATGTTCAATGCCTATGTGTCTGTGGGGTCAAAGGTCAACAGGAGTGGGGCAGTGGCTAGCCTTTGAGTTTTAACTTTGGCTCAGACACACAGACATTCGCTTCATTCAGTTCTGAACGTTCCCTCGTGAGTTATAAGAGTAAAACGAATTATGCACATTTATAAAGCTCAACGGCCTCTATCGTGGTGCATTCTGATTGGTTGGACAAACAAACTATTTTTCAATTTTTTCGGCAGTGGTATTTTCTGTGACATAAACCTTTCTTTCAGAAAAGGGAATTATTGGTGATCAGCTGCAGCTAAAATATGAACTCGAAATAATGAGGTCCACTCTGATCTTTCCTATCATGTGAGTGGCTATATATCGAAACTTGTGACATAGATATTTCGTGATATGTGAGAAAAGGAGGTGAAATTTTCAAGATGGCAATCTTATAATAAGATCAACTTTCTAATTTGTTCCGCTAATGTATAACTCTAATAATGATAATGGAACGTCGGTTTTTATCGGCAAAAAATGGTTTCTGTTTTGCTTTCAATTACTCAATAGTTTATCCACAGTAGTGGGGGCCATTGTGTCCGTGTTTGAGCTACGTTTGTGACATCTGTCACATCTCAGGCCCTTTCTCCGCTTGAAAAAGCCCGACAAACTGTGCGAGACAAAAAATCGTTGTTTCGATCGGTATTCAGACTTGGCGTACAGAACGAATAAAGTGATGGCTCGAAGGATAAGTCCGATGCCGATTAACGCTCGATAAGGGTGCTCCTCGTTACTGAACGAGTAATAAGTACGCATCGTCTCGATTTGTGTACCCCATCGATGAATTTCAACATTTTGCAAGTACATGTCTATCTCGTGATGAAAGAGAAGATGTTGTGCATAACGAGAAAACGATACAGTGACAATAAAATCGAGTCTACCGAGGTCATTCTTAGTCGGACTGAAGCCGGACAAAAGGCAGGAGAGAAGAGCAACGAGTGTACCGGCCAAGTAGGCGTATTCGGTGCGTTCGAACAGTACCGATGTGCACTGACCGATGCCAGAACAGACGAAGGCAAGAAGAATCATCACCTTCAGGTAAAAGATAAACGAACCACGCGGATCGAGAGCAATGAACATTAGAGAGAGAAACAACAGTGGATATAACACCATGCAAACCACGTCGACAGTACTTTTTGCTAGCCAATATTGAAAAGGATGATAATAATTGCGACTCTCACGTTCGAATGTATGATTGGTTATTTCGACACCAAAGAGTCGCTGACTAGACACACATGTGGTGATGCCAAAGGCAAGTGATATCATAAAGTAAACGGTTGTTAGCTGATCGATATCACACTTTTCTCGATTGTTTTGGAATAAGTAGCCAACACACTCTCCGAATAACACATAAGCAGCACAATAGAGTGCTTCGGCCACAGGGCTACGGATGAACATTTGTCGTAATGTTCGACGCATGATGTAAATAAACGGAAGAAATGCTCGCAGTTTCCAATCAAAAGTGGTCAACGTTTGGTGCGTAACGGGTTTTGGAACATCATGATTTTTGACAAGCGATGGTGCATGGGTGAGGATCGTGAAGCATGAGTCACAAACGTTATGTTTCGGTTTCGGATGATTTTCGACGGGAATGTTTGCTAGAATGACATCATGAAGTCCTTCTTTTGCCACCGAACACACACCCTGATAGGCCAAACAACAATGAGCCGTGAGAAACAGCACATCATCAATTTGCTGAAACAATTCTTGGCTAGGCTGATGAACAACCATCGCGATGGTCACGGGGCCAGCTTCGCTGTGTTTGATCAGATTCAATAGGTCGAACAATTTGTCGCACGCTATCGTATCGAGGCCTGATGTGGGTTCGTCTAATAGCAGGACTTTGGGACAGGCGGCGATTTCCATGGCAATGTTGACACGCTTCTTTTGCCCTAAATATTATATTTATATCTCAGTGATGGCGAGGATGGGAAATAACGATACAAAAGACTCACAGAATGATAGTGTCACATTCTACGTGGAACTACTGAAGTGTTACATAAAATAAAAAGATATGAATAATGAACCTGCGGTTCTTATGCACTACGTTTTCATTTTTTGTAACATTCAATCAAAATATCGATTTCGCGAACCAAAACGAGTGTTTAGTCTAACTTGTGTGAAAATGGACATGAGCGAAATGTTATACACCAACCTTCTCATCTGCTCAAGAAGAACTCTCTACGTAAGAAAAACGGCTGAGTATTGGGCTATTTTGGACTCAACAGTCGAGCATAGAGAAAGACACGATGAAAGCATGTGTAGATCATGCACGTTCGAAATGGATATTTGAACATTTAGAGTCCGATCATATCGTGGGGCAATGAACGCGTTCTGGGCATGTACCAAACCCGAGTCCATTTAGGCCGAATCCGAGCCGAGCTGCATACCTAGCGCGCTCAATTTTCTCCGATTCCAATAATGTTAGCAATTAGCAGAATCAATGTGGCCTTGTCGAAATTCTATACTGATTTTTACGTCTTTTCTTGGGATATAACCACTCACCTCCGGACAGTTTGTCGATCAGTTTATCGTGCATTGTTCCTAGGTCGAGTTTTTCAAGGATGAAATGAACATCATTTCTGATGGTATTGATATTATCCTTCAGGCGGCGAGCACGAGCCGAGTAGAAGACTGTTTCGAACACTGTCAAGTTCGAATGCATGATGTCGGCTTGAGGCACAAAGGCGATGTAATCCGACAGTGCAGTTGTCATTGGATGATGCTGAGCAAATTGGATGGAACCACCTTTACGGACACTTCGAAGACCTTGAATAGACTCCATGAGACTGCTTTTACCGCAGCCGGAGCCACCCATCAATGCTGTCAGTCGACCAGCTGTGACACAACCAGTGAAGCCCGGATTGTTCTTATAATCGAAACGTGTGACGTAGCGTGGCTTTGCTCGGTCGAGATGAATGTTAAGTTGAAAAGGTAAAGAATCATTTTGGTCATTTTTTCTAGCCTCTATGGGTATGAAATATTTACTCGTGGCAATATAATTCCGTTTTCTTTTTCCGTATATTCTACTAATGATTGCTTGCCCCACTTGCGACTGAGGAATCTCTGCAACGAGCAACAACAGGAATAATACGCTGAAAATTACTGAGACGGATACGGTCAAAATGTATTTTCGATGAGACCGTCCCTCCGAGCAACGGAAACCATCACGACAAAGCAACGGTTTGATAACACCTGTAGGACAGTAGACCGATGAACCGTTGCACTTGATAGAAACTGTTGGATTTGGACAGTAGGTGTAAACGGGACAGAAACCTTCAAACATGGATCCGCCACACCCCAACCTTCCGTATTCAGCTGTGGGTGGTTTGGGGCATCGAGCGGTGGTGAGACACATTCCATCATTGGGCGAGAGTGGTGATGGACAATAGGAGCCTAGACGGCAAGGAATCATGCATGCTTGTCCATCTGGACAGAAGAAACCTGGGCAACAAGCTCGCGGTGTAGAATCGTTAACCAAAAAGAAACCCGGTTCACAGAACTCACGATCGCGCGCACATGTGTCGACATTGTAAAGGGCGCGAATAGCATCATCATTGTTAACGTAAAATCTTATGATAATAGTTAAATTACAAATGTGTCGTGCAAGAAATTTTGGATTCGTGCATTGATTTTTGGCCGAGCAAGCCGGATTAAAACTCCACTGTGTCTGATTCTTTTTTGGCTGGCACTGTAAGCATGATTTTGTATCTTTCGATCTCAATCCGCCCGCTTCGTAACACGTCTTGCTAATGTAGCAACTATTGTTCACAGTTAAACATGTACCATTAATGCACTTTCGACATTTGGGATCGCATGGTGGGGTGCAGTTCTTTGAGATCGGATTGTGACCAGTTGCCGTCTTGAATGATCTTGTCACAAGGTTGAAATTATTGCTGATACTGCTCGAATTAACAAGAATGAATAAGTCTAGAACAAGCAGATTGAGACCTATCGTCATCGCCAGTCGAGCCATTGTGATGATCTCTCGAGGTAAAGTATTTGAGGGATCTTGTCAGCTACGTTTTGTTTATCTGAAAGACACGGCTATTCAATATCAATTCGAGAATTTGATAGAGGAAAAGTGCATTTCAGAATCTGGCACAAGAAAAGAAACTGCCAGCAGATCTAACGATCATACTATCCCTTCAGTAATGATTTTTTTAACGTCATGATTTCATTGTATCGAAGGTTAGAAAATATTCCAGAAAAGAGGGAAATTGTAACCATTGATAAAGAAATAACTGGTGATGCAAAAGTTCCTGGGAAAATATTTTGAAAAGAACAATAAATCCTTCCTACAATCATCAAAAGGATCTGCAAGAGAACAAATCGTATCTCCGTTATTTGATAATTCAGAAATTGTATCTAGCTGGCCAGAAGGGTCAGAAACATGGGAAGAATCAGGTAAACCACAACGGGAACGATTTAGTAATTGGTAGTCACCGCCATCATGGGTTCTTCCAGAATCATGTTCATCAAGTTAACGAAAACCGTTGAAACTACAACAGTATTAGCTGAACCTCTTTTCATCTCATCTCCTTTAGTTGTACTTGTTGTTGTAGAAAAAATACAGCAGTGTCTCACTGCTATACCACTTTTGCCTGAAGGAAAGGTACATGAACCACCTATCATAGTCGAGGAACAATGCAGACGTCTAACATCCGAACTCGCATACGCACGAGCTCAACTAATTGATGAAAAGATCAAACGTCTGCAAGCTGAGTCGATGTCATTGCAAAATGACGTAACACTTCTACGAACCCAAATGAAAATGAGCTCATGCTTAAACTCTGATTCAAAAGTTTGTCAAGTTCATCACGGTAGGAGCAACAAGCGAAAGCAGAGAAAAGCGTCGTCGGCATCAGAACGTAGTTGTGAAGCAAGGAAATTTGCTCCTGCCCCATATTACTTCGCTGAAACTCATCGTATAATAAGACTGCCAGTACTAACAACCGCCTTAAAAGGAGCAGAATTTGAACGTATGTGCCACATGGCAAAAGAAGCCCCTCTCGATACAATCATCCTTCTTCGCATCGGTAGTTATACTCGCCTTGGTGTTCTCACTCTTTTTTTTCGGCTTGTGGCATATCAGAAAAGAACAATTTAGCAACTCTTTCTAAAAACTAGTTAACAATTCTTAGCAATTGGTGCTGCATTGTTTTATCTCTTCGCACTCTCATCTTCCAACGCCTCTGCGACGCGCACATTTCACTGCGGGTTAGTACACTGTCAATCCGCCGCGTGTTCCGTATGATCATGATGTGTAATATACGTACATAGTTTGTCAGCGTAATGATGAAAATCAATGAGAAAAATGATTATTTCGATAGAAGTTATGCTGCAGAAAAATGGTAAAATATGTATAGTCGCAGAATTTTTTTGTTGTTTGATATTCATCACAATAATCTTTATCAGTAGTGGCCTTATGGGAAAAATCTTCGAAATCTTCTCCATCATAGAAAAAAATATTAGCCTTTATAGAATATAACAGAGGGGAGATATCCAAATTTTTTATCATAAAGATATTTATGACGTACCCTGTATATATCCATATATATATAAGTGGCAGAGAAAGAAGGAATGATAACAACATTCTTGGTGTTTGTGCTGAAACCTTTTCTCTTTTTCGCTATTTGCATCAATTTTTTAGATTTAAGTACGTCTGCAGATGCATCTGATCTGTGTTGATTCTGTCATTAATTTTCATTGTCTCTCTTTGTGTTCTGTACTATAGTATCTTCTCTGTTCTGTTTCTGTACTATAGTATCTTCTCTGTTCTGTTTCTGTACTATAGTATCTTCTCTGTTCTGTTTCTCTACTGTGTTCTGTTTTGATTTTGCATTTGTTATATGTCCGTTCTTTCAATGTTTTTCTTTCTTGTCTGTTCTCTATCGGCAATTTCAGTATAACATGTACCGGTATTTTGTTGAGATGTCTAGTGCGAAAAAGGCACAGCGATGAGGAAAAAGATCCTATGATATTGCGATATATACTACGTCTGCCATTTGTACTGGGACACAGATGATTTAGAAAATGAATTTTACACTGTGCATTTCGGTCAAGGACAATATTTTGCTGATAGTGAATGATACGATTCTAGCTCATTTTGTTATAAGGCATTCACTTTATGATAAGACGAGCGAGACCGAAAAAAACATCAAAAAATTTCAACGGTGGAAAAATTGTACATACAAAAATATTTTCTAGAACTACCAATACTTGGAAAATATGATATTTGAGGTTAAATGTACTTAAATGTATATTACTTCATTTTTGTAATGGAACAATAACGTATGACAACAGCAGGGGATGTGTCGTTGTTCGCCAATTCAACTTTCGCCAACGTTCGCCAGTTAACATTCGCAGACGGCGAATGTCCAAAAAAATTGGCGAATGTCAATGAGACGCTAATCGGCCAATCGGCGAATGTCACGGGAACATTCGCCAACTATGGCGAATGTCGTGTGGACATTCGCCAATCGGGCGCTCGATTATATTTAGAGCAGAAAAACGCGCATATGCACACTCCAATGAATACTGAGGACATGTACTGGCGAATGTCCACACGACGCTCGCCATAGTTGGCGGATGTCGTAGCGGTATTGGCGAATGCCACTCTGGCGAATGTCGTGTTGACATTCGCCAGTTGCCAGTATGGCGAATGTCTATTGGCGAAAGTTGAATTGGCGAAACGCGACTTTACCACAACAGGTATACTACTATCAGTCCGACTGGTGAGGAATAGCTACAAAAAATTTGTTTTGATATGTGAAATATCTGTTCATCCATGTAATATGACCAAATGGAACCCTAGTATTGTTTTTAGAACGGACTTAGCTAAAAATATGAAAAGTTTAATAATTTAACCATGTAAAAAATTTACGAAAAGTTTAATGATTATCCTTCTCTCACTCATGAGAAACTAACAAACCCATTTTGTGTTGAAAACATCGAATCGAATGATAAGCATGTATTTGTTTCCATTTTAATTGTTAAATTCTAGATATTTGAATAGTATATTAATATAATGTGTTCATGCCTTATTATGTAATACATTCTCGGAAATCGAATGGAAGAAGAATGAAGCTACTACCATGAGAAATAGCCAAGATATATGGGAAATCTCATCTCTTAAGCAACTTTTTTCTAATATTCCTTTTCAAACTAGATTTATCAAGTCCCTCGGAATGTGTCCCTACGCAGCGAGAAAACTCTCTGATATTTAATGGTTCAATAATATTGCACACACCTTCATGTTTTTCATAATTATATTCGTTTCACATTTGTATTATCGTATGTAAGAGAAAATTTATGTTCCTTTTATAACGTTATTTTATTCTATACAATCTATTTCACATGTTTCATCCATCTACTATTGTACGTGACTGTATGTTTTTAGTATGTATGTGTGATAACCAGCTTTTCTTTTTCGACTATTTCTCAACATACAAGTATCGTTCATCTTCGATTCACTGACCCTTGACTGAAAATGGGTTTTTAGCGATGATTTGGTGTTAGTATGCGCGAATAACTAATAACAGTAATTTTTGTTTGAAAGACAGCAGAAGGAATTTTTGAGAGTGGGAAGTGAAAATGGAAGCATTTACGATCATTCTGATTCAAAATCATATTGGGCCATTTTCTAGCAGAAACCGGTCTCGATTCTTTGCCACAGTTCGAAAAGTTCCTAATTCTGACTTTTTTCGAAAAATGATCATTGCCGTCCGTCACACTGTCACATGACTATATGTATGTACGTCCGTCACGCTCACTGGTCACTATATGTATGTACGTCCGTCACAGTTCCGCATGACTATATGTATGTACGTCCATCACATGCGGACGCCGACGCCGACGCTCACATTTATTTCATATGACCCTAGACTTTCAGTCAAGGGAATAATGGGTCCGTCCCCTGTGTTGAATCAAATAAACTATGTTCAGAACAATTCATGCTATCATGGTCCTTGAGTTATAGCGATGATATTGCGTTAGTGGAGTATTGTTGTTTGTTACACATTTGATATAGACGAATGATGCAATTGTAATGGCGAAGCCTTCATGACACCTTGTGCATTCATATATGAAGTTGGTTAACAGAAATCGGTTAAGAGACACAACACCATCACAGTAAAAATACAACAGAATGAAAGCGGCGAAATGCCTATGACATCGTTTCTCTGTGTATATCTAATGTTTTATAATCGATTCTAAACTAAAAATCCTTTTCCCAGCAACCCAGCTAATCGTCGTAAGTCAGAATTTCGGCGGGGTAGGAATAATAGCCTTCACAGATTCAAACTCGTTTAAATCCCAAATCAGTCTTATTGCTGAAAAGCTGACCTCAAAACGAAAACATGAGTTTTACGGCTTCGTAGGCATAGAGTACAATCAGCTTCGTCAATAATATTA